GTGTATATAGCATCTTAACTGTATATAACTGTAATTTGCGTAAATATAGATATATTTTTATATAAGCAGCTTGATTGTGGGTTCTTTAATTTTTATAGTTTCTTTCTCCTTTAACCTAAGGGAAGAAAGAAGGGGGGAAGGGGGCTGCTGTCCTAGCTTTCGGGCATTTGGCAGGGAGCCAAGTCCAAACCGTCACACACTCATACCACACCCCAGAAACACTGTAAGGACAAGCAATCATATTTGGCATCGAATTTTTGAAATTCAATTACTTTATCAGTATTTTTCATGACACAAATCCTGTCTCAAAGTTCCTAAAGTAGGATATTTGCTATCAGTCTGAATGCCAAAACATCTGCAACAATTCTGCAGGACAAGGAAGAAACCCTCAGCCAACGAAGGCAAAGGAGTTTCGTGGATGGGAACAGGATTTCACCCCACAGATTTGCCAGAACTACTACAGCTGTTTACACCACACATTCCACTTTCTACATCAACCTACAACTGAGAAACATGGGAATGAATTTTCTGCCATGGTGGCTCCAGGGTTTTTTCTTCCAAATCTACCTCAGTCTGCACAGAACTGATGTCTGGAGGATCTTGCCTACCATGGAACCTCACAGACAGAAAATGTGATTGTCCAAGGGCCAGCACAGCTCCAGAACAAGCTGAAGCAAAATTAGTACAGCGACATTTACAACTTTCAAACCATTCTGACCCGTGGGATGGTTTGATCTGAATTCTTGGATATTAACAGGAAACAGGATTTTGTACGACTGACTGAAAGAGAGGCTCCCACCCAATATTCAGGAAGATAAATGCAACAAAGTCCAAACTCTAATTGACAGAGAGGCAAACCCAAACTAGAGCTAAAATTTTTTGATATTGCCAGGAGGCTTGCTGAAGACAGTTAGAGTAGGAAGTCTGTCAAAGCTCAGTATCAGGCCCAGTAAAAAAGCAATTTTCACCAATTTACACAAGGATTCACATGTTAGAAGTGAAGAAGATACAACATTGCCTCACCCTGAGGTCCCAGAAAGAAAAGTGCAGACAGGACTCAGTCAAAAGCATCTCACTACAAAGCTCCATTTTCATAATCAACTGCAATTAAATCTAAAGAAAGAGGAAATACAGGATATCTAACTATCCTGTGCTACTGATCTCCCTCCTCCTGACTTGAGTTCTGATTTGGTTGTAATTTGAGAACAGAAAGACATTTTAAAAGCCCCAAATAATCTAGTCTTCTTTCAAACCGAGTTTTAGAAGCAAATCTTTTGTTCCTTATCTAGAAAACAGGTATAATAACAAGAAAAAATGTCTTTCTTACAGTCTTACCTGAAAAGCGTCCAAATCGTGTCTAGTTGGCTGGAAATTGTACTCAGTGATAAAATGTAGGAGACTTTGGATACAAAGAAGTCAATAAAGCACAGAAACACTACATGCTTTACACAAGGATGTGTTATCTCCTGCTATTCCTCCCGATTTTGGCACAATGAAAACACAAAGAAAAGCAGCATAATGCAGGATTGCAGATTGCAATGCTGAGAACTGTGCTGTCTGCCTAAATTCTTTTAAAATTTGTACCAGTGTCTGTCTGTGATTTACCTCCCCGCCTTCAACTGTGAGGATCTGCCACTTTTTGAGGCAAATCTGCCCCTTGAGGTACCTTCTTATCTGTGAGATGATGCTTGCCCAGGTCAGCACAGAGGCATGTTTTGAGGATGGCTGCTCTACAGGCACAGCTGGCT